CACCTTCCCCCCGGGAGCCACACTCCCGGCCATAGAGAAGGCGGCAGAAATCCATTTTAACCAAGAGCTATCAGGGACAGGGAGCTCGAAGTCTTCGGCGATTTGATCGATCGAGAGACCATCCAGCCAGCCGGTCCAGAGTAGATTAGACCGCACGGTGTTGACCTTGCTATGCAGCATACTTACCGTCTTGAATACCCAATAGGACATCGCATTCGGGTACTCGGAGCACGAAGTTTCGACGTTGCAGTCGCTCCCGATCTTCCCGCAGCCGGTTAAGGGGGAGCCGCCGTCATCATTGAACACACTGAGCCAGAGTTGATTAACCCAGTCATGTTCACCCTTGCCGTTGCCCGCACCATTGTCGTCCAAGATGAATAGCATAATGTCCAGCCAGGCTATGGCGCCTGAGTCGTCTAGGATTTTCTGAACGCCGTCGGTTGTGGAGGTGTCTCCGCTGCAGACTGCGGCGGGATCAGGGGTAGTTGCGGTAGCTGTGGTAGCTGCAGTAGACGGTGCCTCCGTTGGCTCCGACGGAGGCGTAGCTGATGGTGTATTTGGTCCCAATGTTGGGTCTATTGAGTTCTCGTGTACGACCCATCGCGCGTCAAGAGGGCCAGCAGCAACGGTTGCCGCGAGGCCTGTGGTGAGAAGAAAGGTAAATCTAGCCATGGCTATTTGAATTCAAATAATTAGATTGCTTTGCTTGTTAACAATATCTTGCCCTGGAAAAATGGCAAGATTTATAGTTATACACCGAGTATACAACGAGTCCATGTAAACATGGGCCTGGGATCTTTTTCCTCATTCTCACCAACGCCGAAGCTTTGGGATAAGCTCCCGCTAAGATCGGGGCTATGCAAGGGCCACGGCGCCTCCCATTAAGAGGCTTTCTTTCGTAAGAGAGGTACATTAGATAGCGGGCGTTAATAAGAGCCGATATTATCAATCATGTCTTTTCGACCCCCTATTCGGGTTCGGGAATGCTCACTTTCCTGGTAAAGTTTGCTACGATCTCAATATAGATTCAATCGTACGTAGTTCCGAATCTAAAAATAGGGACCGGAGCCTCAATTCGCAAGCTTAAATTAGATCGCACGTTGTGGTTGCTGTTTTCAGCTCTGTGAGGCTGTGGTCAGCATTTAAGATAAAGCATGCGCAGAAAGGAGATCTCGAGATATGTAACACATGCTGAGAGATCATTGACGCTATACGGGTTTTTGCTGATTTCGAACCGAACAGGCCCATTGTTGTCGAACTGATCGGTTGACGATATGGGTCTAAAATTCCGAATTGCCAGCTGTGAAGGGGATACCCTCCTTGCCCCTATCCATATCCATGCACTCGAAGTCCATATGATAGATCCAAAGCAACCAGCATGAATTAACGCCAACAACAGTTCATTTAAATCAATTAACCCATTAAATAATATCTTGTTGTTCCCTCTAGTCTCTTCGAAGGGTTTATCTGAGCTTCTGCTCCCTTAAGATTCCTCCCCCTATTTCCATCTCTATCCGAGGCCTCCGGTTTCGGCGAGCGGGGGACCAGAAAAAAGTTGCCCTGCCCCGCAATAATCAGTTGAGCTTGGGTATATCAACAACGAAAGGAACTCGAAAGGAAGTGAGCATTTTGCTTGGATATTTGCTAATTTAATTATATTATTTTCTAAGAATAAGAGATTGGAAAAGGTACGCTGGGTTAATTTATCTCTCTCTTTAAAGGCTCGAGGAAGGAAAGAAGAGCTCAACAAAGCTACAGCTATGGCGACGGCATACAACATCGTCGTCTTCGCGGGAGATTATTGCGGTCCTGAGGTGAGTTCGATCCAATCCAATTCAATTCAACTCATTCCTCCTCTCCTTCTTATTCAATTGCTCTATTACCAGCTCCAAGCTCAGTCTACTAACTCCCCACCCTCTTAACCCGAACGTAGGTCACAGCCGAAGCCCTCAAAATTCTCCGCGTAGTCGAGAAGCAGCGAAGCAGCGAGCTCAAGTTCAATTTCCAGGATCATTTGCTTGGAGGAGTGGGTATTCCTCTATCCTATCTATTGCCTAAGTTGCGGAAGGGCTAGAGCTTAGCTTACGAATTGGTGATAGGCTTCGATTGACGCTACAGGATCCCCATTGACGGACGAGGCTCTCACAGCAGCTAAGAATGCGAATGCTGTATTCTTAGGTGCGGTTGGAGGACCGGTACGCATTACACCCGATCTGTCTACATCCACAGCAGCTAAAAGAAACATGGGCATCTAGAAATGGGGAACAGGCGCCGTCCGCCCCGAACAAGGAATCCTCCGCCTCCGCAAAGAAATGAACACATTCGGAAACCTTCGCCCCTGCAACTTCGCCGCCCCTTCCCTCGTCAAGATCTCGCCCCTAAAAGAAGAAGTATGCCGGGACGTGGATTTCAACGTGATCCGCGAATTGACTGGTGGGATATACTTCGGTGACCGGAAGGAGGATACAGGTGACGGAACCGCATACGATACGGAGCCATACTCACGCCCGGAAATCGAGCGGATTACGCGCCTGGCGGGACATTTAGCGCTAGCAAGCGATCCCCCGCAACCGGTGTGGAGTTTAGATAAGGCGAATGTTCTGGCTACGAGTCGGTTGTGGAGGAAGGTTGTTACGGAGGTTATGGAGAAGGAGTTCCCGCAGGTGAAGCTGGGGCATCATTTGATTGATAGTGCGGCGATGTTGATGGTTAAGGATCCGAGAAAGTTGAATGGGATTGTGGTGACGAGTAATTTGTTTGGGGATATTATTAGTGATGAGGCGAGTGTTATTCCGGGGTCGTTGGGGCTGTTGCCCAGTGCGAGTTTGAGTGGGGTTCCGGATGGGAAGACGAATGTGAATGGTATCTATGAGCCGATTCATGGTATGTGCCTTCCCCCTTTTCCCCTGGAAAGCTTAGGTGAGAGCAAGGGCTAACCAACTCCCGCTTAGGTTCCGCCCCTGACATCGCTGGAAAGGGAATTGTCAACCCTATCGCAGCCATCCTCTCCACAGCCATGCTTCTCCAATACTCCCTTAACCGACCCGCAGAAGCCAAGGCTATCGAAACCGCTGTGCGCAACGTCATCGAGGCCGGTACCACCACCGGTGATATCGGAGGTAAAGCAAACACCGCACAGGTGGGAGATGCTGTCGCCGCTGAGTTGGAGAAGCTTTTGAGCGCATAAATTATATAAAAGGTGGCGGTTCGGTAGTAAAAGAGCTCGACTTACTCCCAAGCTCTCCTATTCTTCCCAAGGAATAGGGTATTTCCGTTAGAAATATAAGAAAGTTAGTCATATTCGGGTATCTTGGATTTAGTTTCTAATCGTGTTCCCCCACCGAGATTATGCGGGCAATGCAAAGCAGAAGAGAGAGCGCGACGTGGATGTAAGGCTTGCGGAAGAAAGCTGGGCTAGGATCACCGGATTTCCGGTTCGCCCATCCAGTCCGGTTCCTCCATCCCAATAGCCTTATAGTCATCCACTTTCCCGCCACCCGAACCACCGCCCGCAGCATCGCCATCCCCTTCACCATGACCCTGCTTCAACCTCCTACTCTCCCTGCGTGCCCGCGCATTCCCGAGCCCCTGAACCCGATCATCCTGCGCGAAAACCTGGAATCCACGAACATGCGTATCCTTTCCATTTTGATGATTTTCACATATCTTCATCTGGATGACCATTGCTTTGAGGACGTTTCCTGCCGTTGGATCATTATCATTAATATCATTATCGTCGTCACTGTAGGCGTCGTCGCCATTTTCCTGAGCCATATCATAATCTTCATCGACTCCACTATCGTAGCCTCTCAACCCCTGGATTTCCTGCTTCTTAGTCTTCCTTCTATGCCGCCGTTTCATTTCTTTACTCTGATTATTCCGCCCACCAACCCCTTCGAGCGGGATATCCACCCATCCGGTGGGAGCTTCACCTTCCCACGAGGCAAACTCCACAAGATCATTCCCACCCATCCCAGCCAGGAAGACCATTTTCGTAGGTGTGTAACTTTCATCGAGATTGAAATCCAGGTAAACTCTAATCCGCACCACGGCGACGAGTTTGAAGAAGTGCAATGTTAGGGCGTGAGGTTGTGGTCCGTCTGATTGCCAGTAGGAGGATGGGGAGTCGTGTCGGAGGGCGGCGACACCACAGCCGGGTTTGTGAGTAGATACCGTCCAGGAAGCTAGTGAGGAGATTTCACGGAGGTTCTCGGGGAGAGGGGAAGATGCGCGGGCTGGGTAAGTCACAGTCAATGTTGGGTCTAGAAGATGTATGGCCAAGCTTAATAACGTACGAGGTAAGTATTCTTCTTCTTCCCCCTCTTCTCCTTCTAATTCCTCTTCCTCCTCATCGTACTCCTCTTCGCCATGCCCACCATGTTCCCCCTCCTCCCCGCTCTCTCCCCCCCCGCCCTCAAATTCATCCCCTTCTTCGAAGTTGCGGTTCCCCGGCATACCACCCCCATTGAACGGAGGTAACGCGCCACTAGCACCACGTATCCCAGCTACAGTCGCACGATGTGCGTTCATCGCATTACGCGGTGGTGAATTGAGCTCCGGTGTTGCGGGGAGACCTGGGTGCGGAGGAGTAGTCGTGATAGCTGCGGGTTGTTCGGCTGTCCTTCGGGAGTGGCTTGGACGGGGCATTGCAGTCGCTCAGAGACAAGCTCTGGCTTTGCAGGGTGGATAGTTTCTCGGCTACGAATGGTTTGATGGATTGTGTCGATGGAATACTGCGACCATTTGCTTGAAGCTGTCTACAATGGCCCAAGAGCTGGCTGGCCCTTGCCATTTATACTAATCCCGATGAGGAAATGTTCTCGAAAAGACCACGTGATTACCTGGTTCCCGACTTCGTCTGATAATATGATGATGTTGGAAACGAAAACCCGAACCGCATAAAAGTGGAAAGAGATAATTAACCTAACTTCGGTTAACATACATACATCAAAGGAGATGGAGAAGATGATATCGGAAGCCAAAAAAAAAAGAAAAAAAAAAGCCGAACGCGAGGCTCGAACTCGCAGCCTTGTGGTGGCAGACAATCTGAACGAATCAAAGGTCTTTAAGAGCCACACGCTCTACCGATTGAGCTAGCCCGGCTTGATTTGATATAGAACAAATCATCATGGGCAAATGTATCCTTTTTGTGAACCACCTCTGGCCGCTATCGTCAACCGTAGTTCTCCCTATTTTCTATCACAGCGTGTTTGACATCTTGCGACCTGGGAACCTGTCTTATCAAAATACTACGAGCTCACCTTTCAGCACAATGATTCTGGAAAGCAAATCTTCTCCTGAAATAATATTTATTAATATTATTAATGATAATTTTTTTGTCTTTTTTTTTTTCTCGTTTTTTTTTTTTTTTTTTTTTCTCATAAAAGAAAGGGCAAAATTGTGCCCAGGTTGGCGCCATGAAGTATGGCGATAACCAGAAACCGGCCCGGAATGCCAAAACAAGCCTCTGCGGCTTTCCGAACATACCCCAGGTCTTCGTCGTCTAGCTCTGGGAGAGTTTGACCCGCCCTCGCCACCTCCGACAACAGCCATCGAAAGTCGGCTAGCTCGCCGTCACTCCCACGTTCCACCACCGTCACGGCCCTCAATTTAAGCAAGTCTGACTTGGACGCGACAGAGCCTTCGAGGAAGAGCTCTGCTGCGTGGATCTGTTCGATGATAGTCCCGTCACCGATTTCGATAAGGTCAACCTTGACGCGGAAACCTTGCGGGGCATCGAACGAGATCTTGCCGTCAGGCTCGAGGTTAAAATTGGGGGCGCCAGCCGTCACTTTTTCCCAAATTTCGATTAGCAGGTTGGGAGGCGCAGCAACATCCACGTCCTCGGACCAGAGGTCCGAGTCGTGGGCAATGCTGGCAGCGCCGCCAACGAGGACCAGTTGGCGGCGGAGTTCAGGCTGGACTAGGCGGGTGGTGGCTCGGAAGCACGCGAAAAGTGCTTCTCGTAGTGGTGCAGTGGTTGGCTTGGCCTTCGGCATTTTCGGAGGTAAGAAGCGGGGCGGTATTGCAGAGCCTCCTTTATAATGTCAGTATGTCCCAGAAGCCACTTCTCCGAGGCATGATAGGGCTACAGGAACTTACTGGGGTATGTGGTTGGGGGGCGGAGCTCTGGGCGGCTGCGATAACTTTTTCGAGTAAGTACGAGCGGAAAGCACGGGGTAAGGGGGATAGGGGGCCATACGATATGTCATCGATATTGATATCTTGTTCACCTATAATACCTGTTAGCACTTTGGAAACTCGCGTCTAATCCTACAGAATACTCACATTCATACGTTATATCGATGCTGGGGAAAAAAAAGAAGCCAAAGGGACAGCGGCGCGAAAGTCGAGATACAATCCATTCTCCTTGCCATTGAGGGTTGGCCGCTCTTTCTCTGGTATACACCTACTGTATCACGTAGCCTGGAGGGAGTCGCAGTTTCCCAAGTATGGAGTACAGTTAGGGGTCAAAAGTCTCCGGACACTTCACCAAGCACTCACCAAAAACAGCATTTTTCAACTCATAATAGTTCAAACTTTTGTATTACAACTCTATGGTATTCTTATATATTCCTATAGAGAATTATCGGGGCAGCAAAATTTACATATAATACTTTTTATTTTATTGGTCCCCCCACCCTGGGAGTTGGGTTGAGTTATCTACCATTGAACCCCTCAGGGGGGGAGGTAGGTGGGAACCAACTACCATTGAACCCCCTAAGGGGGGAACCAGCTACAATTGAATCCCCTAATGGGTGGAAGGCAGGTGAGAACCAGCTACCATTGAACCCAGAGTAGAAATCGTTGATATAAGAATGAAGCTTTGCTCAAAGAAGATTAGTTTGTAATTATTAGCCAATCATGAATTAAACCTTATGCTCAGTCTGTCTAGCCAAGTACAGCCTCGTCTCGCCTCGCCTGATCTAGCCTAGGTAGGAAAAAGAGCCTGCCTAAAGAAGAGAACCCGCGAAAACCCTGCCAGGTGCCAGACCCGTGTAAAACCCAGCCTTAAGGATTGATCAGTTCCCCTTGGCTCGGTGGTTTTCGTGGAATAGCCCCTAAGTTAACAGCTTGGGAGCTCTATATCGACCAGCCACGGAAGTTGTACAGGACGCTCGTCAGACGGGCCTTCGATAGCAGCATTGACGAACAGAGTCTGAGAGCCGAAATGAAGGGGGTTCGGATCTGCTCTACCATGGCTAGTCGTACGGCACCTTTCACCCTCATAACGCTTCAATTTCTTCGACTTTTCCTCCAGTATCTCAGGTGTGTCGAATTTCGACCCTCGAAGACCAGATAGATTCTCGATCAGGGCGGATTTGTCGTTATCTATATCGGTGAAATGTGAGGGCTTCTCGCTGGGTTGATCCCGCCAGGTCACGAGCTTTGCGCCCCAACCCACGTGAATGTGGCCAAAGCAGTGAAGACGTGGGCGGGCTCGAGCGACAGCTTGGAAGAGATCGGAGCATCCGGCACGCTTATTATCAGTGCGATCCAGGATGCCCTGAGGTGGCCCGTGGGTGAGAACGACGTCGACCCCTTTCTCGATAGAAAAGTCGCGTCCCTCTACCGGAGGGTACTGAAAACCCCAGTCGCCAAATGCGGGTGTATATGGGCTGGCGTACACGGTCAGGAGCGCATTATTCTGGAGTCGAAATCGATGGGTCCCTTCGTCGAGAAACGTAATCCCTTCGGCCTTTGCTTCTTCAAAGAGTCGTCTCGCTTCACCATAATCGCCGTACACCTTTCTAAGAAGCTCCGGCTCCACGGACTCTCTGGCTTCCAACTCGGCGACTTTTTTCTTGTAGGCGGGAATGTCCATGGTGAAGTCATGATTCCCGGCGATGACAAGCTTGAGGGGCGCATCGATGTTTTTGAGAAGCTGTAGGGTTGTTCGGAACTCCTCTATCTTCGATTCCTCGGTGAGATCGCCGCAGTGGATAGCCACATCTGCATGTTGAGTGGGCTTTACTTCGTCAAACGACATTCCGTGCGTGTCTGAAATAATAAGAAATCGGGTTTTGATAGCATCCATTTCACTAGAAACATGCATAGTTAGCGCTCCGTGAAGAAGTTCCCGCGGTTCGATTAAAAGGTGGATTCGATAAGTCGTGTTTTATAAAAAGTGATTTTGATCTGAGAGCAGAAAGGAAAGAGGAAGGATATTGAAGACGAGCGGGGCGAGGTTGGGCTTTATATAAGATGGAGGGAACATCAATGACGCTTAGGAATGTCAACATCGTGTAACTGACGGGTTTCTTGGTTCATAATTTGGTACGATCTATTATCCAAGTCAGTGAATCAGGGGACAACCAGCGCATCATTGAGACGGACCAAATTATTTCTTAGAACATTCTTCGTTCTTCGAGCCGCACCCGCATTGGCGATTATTCTTCAACAAATGCTAACCACGGCGAACCAGAGTATTCGTTATTTCAGGACAACGCGTCGCCGCTTGACTGCCTTCTATTACTCCTTCGGGTAGAGTAGAGGAAGACTGAGTAATGATGAATGAAATAAGGTAGGAACTTATTCAAGCACCGAGATCATGATTATACACGTCGTAGGGGATCCTCCTTCCCAAACTATAGATACTGGATTGGGCAAGAGGGTGAAGCTCATAAAGAAGCGGATTGGACGTGAGAGAAAGATGAAGCAGAATCAAATCAAACTCGAAACGGTAGAAGCTCAGTACAGGACGTACTGCGAGAGAAACGAAGATAACTGAAGATGACGAAGAAAGAAAATCTTCGAACCCTGAACACCGAACTATCTGATTCTAATTCTTGATGATTAATTATTGACGTCTGAAAAAGAATGAACATCTTGATCAGCTATTTATAGCTCCCAACACATCATCCCTGATGACTAGTCCAGAACATCATTCTTCACCATCCACCCCGCTACGAACCAATGGGGTTGCTCATTCACACCAAAACCTGTGCAACTTCCGTGGCTGGTCGTATCGAACTCCCAAGCTGTTAACTTAGGGCCTATTCCACGAAACCCACCGAACCAAGGAGAACCGGTCAATCCTTAAGGCTCAAAGTAAATAGTAGGTGTATGCCCCGAAAGAACAAACGGTTTTTACAGCTACCAAATTTTAGTAATAATCACGATTTATGATACGCACTAGACAAAGAAGAAATGGAGGGGAATATTCTGTTCGTGTTGAAGGAGGATAATCTGATAACAACTTCGTCATACATACGCGAAGAACCGTAAGTTGACTCAAGAGACCAATCCATTAACCAAGCCAAACAATAATATCATGTTCAGTAATGTTCATGAGTAATTCTACTATATGCGCAGAATACAACGCCCGTTATCAATCATTCATAGACTAGCAATATTAACCAAGTTCTTTGTTCGCTCATTAGAAGCTTTAAGATCGACTGATCAAACAAAGCAATCCTTCAAGCGCCTTCTTCCACTTCCAACGTTCGGTTCAGCCATCAGCTCAAAATCTCAGGACTATAAAGCATGTCTTGCTTTCACTTTCTCTACTGAAGAGAATCAGTTCCTCCATAACCAGAGCATACCACCCCCCTCGCCTTTTATCATTGTAACCTCCTTGATACCCCCATACACTTGCAACCGCTTGCTATTCGATTTCAATACTGCGTTTCTCATGGATCTGCCAGAAGACCAAACCCCAAAGATGGTTCGCAAGTCCCTTCAAGGAGTATACTGGGAATCCAATCCAAATTACGACTATGGCACCTTCCACAAGCAATTCTACTTCTTCTACGGCACATTAATGGACCCTTCCACACTCGCCACCGTTCTCGGACTTGGAAACCGGCCTCAGGTCTTTCGCGCCAAAGTTATCGGATATCACTGCATGATGTGGGGCCAGTATCCAGCGCTTCTCGATGATCCACCTGGTGCTGCGGTTTATGGGGTCGCTTATGAAGTTCAGTCGCAAGGGGACAGCAAGCGTTTGGAAGAATACGAGACGGATAACTACGCGACCAGCTCATGTCTGATCGAGTTCGAGGATGGGAGAAAGGTTATAGGGAGAACCTTTAAATGGAATGCGGATAAGTCTCTTCTTAGAGAAGGGAGCTTCGACCTCAAGGACTGGCAGATGAATAAAT